GAACAGCCCCTGAGAACACATCTTCAGAACCTCCAAAGCCACAGGAGAACATCAGTCTGATGTCCGGGGATTTCTAGCGCCTCTTTCGGGGACTGGCAGTTCAGCAGGATATAGAGTGAACACACAATGTATACATTTTATCTGACGGATCTGTACAAATGCTGATGCCACCAACTGCAGAGAGCACATTCTTTTCAAGCACTGTACGGTTATGAGAGCTGATCACAAGCTGCCCACTGATGGAGTTTCAATAACCTGATCTGATGAGGACCAAGTTTCCTGGGTGTAATGCAATAAACACAAAGTCAATAATTTTTAAAACAGCTGGAAAACCACCACTTTTGGAAATTATGAAATACACTTCTGCAAAACCCATGGGTCAAGGAGGAAATCCTAATGCAAGCGGCAGACAATGCCCAGGCAGAGCGCCTCACACCTGTCATCTTTGGCTTTGAGAGGCCAAGGAGGGAGCACTGCCTGAGGCCAGGGGTTCAAGACCAGCCTGGCCACACAGCTGGCTCCACCTGACGCTGCTGCTACAAATATATATCTGGTACAGATCAGATCTCACTGTGTTGCCCAGGCTGGTCTTAAACTCATGGACTCCAACAATCTTCCCGCCTCGGCTTCCTAAAAACACTGCGATTACAAGCATGAACCACCACACTGGGCCTACAAAAAAAATTTTTTTTGTTAGCCAGGCCTGGTGGTGTGTCTCAGGTGGCAGGCCTGCTTGATCCCGGACGGTTGAGGCTGTGGTGAGCCATGAATATGCCACTGCACTCCAGCCTGGGTGACAGCGAGACCCTGTCTCCACAAAAAAAAAAGGGTGTGCGGGCATCCCACAAATGCTACATACAAAGAAAACAAAAGAATATGTGAACAGCTTTATGCTAATATGGAAAAACAATTTAGCAAAACCAACCTAGAAGAAAGGAAAGCTCAAAAGTCCCACAGCTATTAAAGAAATGGAGCTATAATTTTAAAATACTCCCCCGAAAAACCTCCAGGCCCAACAGTTCCACTGGCAAGTTCTGCATAATATTCATGTTATGATTTTGACACCAAAATCCAGCACGGACAGAAGAAACAGTGCAGAACAGAATCACCCACCAAGACCCCTGTCAAAATCCCACAGCAAACACAAACAAACTCGATCTAGCAAAATACAACACGGATCATGGCTGCCTTGGGCCTACCCCAGAAACACAGACTCATCAACCTCAGAGCGACCGTTCAGTGTAACTACCACACTGACCGCACGAGTCACACCGACGGTCGCTCTGAAGTCGGGTAAGTCTGGTGACCATGGCAGGTGCAGGAAGAGCATTTGAAAAATTCAACAGTCATTCTTGTTTTTCATTGCTTTTTTTTTTTTTTTTTGAGATAAAGTTTCACTTTTGTCACCCAGGATGGAGTGCAGTGGTACAATCTGCCTCCAGGGTTCAAGCGATTCTCCTGCCTCAGCCTCCCAAGTAGCTGGGATTACAGGCACTTACCAGCACGCCCTGCTACTTTTTTGTATGTTTAGTGGAGGCGGCATTTCATTATGTTGGCCAGGCTGGTCTTGAACTCCTGACCTCAGGTGATCCACCACCCCAGCCTCCCATAGTGTTGGGATTGCAGGCATGAGCCACCACACCCAGCCCATTCTTTGGGCTTTTGCAAAGTAACAGAGGGCTCACTCCATTTCTGACCAAGATGGTCTGTTTTATCTGTGGCCAAGAGAGGCTGAAGTTACCCGGAGAAGAGGAAGCCTCTTGGCTCGAGGTCACATTCTGAATTCTTGAGGCTCCCACACCCCTCTTCTCTGGGTGATGACACACCCATCACGCCCTCACCCCATTACCACTCAGGAGTCCTGCCTTCCTAACACAGATTACCATCCATCTAACTTCAATCTGCCGGATGGACCCATCCCCAGGCTGGGCAACTTTGGGCAAGTTACTTGTATTCTGTGAATCTGTTTACATGTGTGTAAGAGAGAGGCAGCAACGCCACTCCTGAAAGCTGCTGTGCAGAGAAGTTTCTCCACATCAAGTGCTTAGAATGATGCCTGGGACAGCACAGCCCTTTGTAAATAATACAAATTATCATCACAAACAAAGCCCTAGGCCCTCCTTCAGGTGGCACAAATGAATCCCATTTACTGGCAGGTGGATGGAGGCTTCAGGTCAGTGACTCCAGTGCCACCAGGCAGAGAAGAAGCCGGAGTGAGCACCTATCGGGCCCCAAAGCCACACTCCACACCCCCAGCCCTGCTCCCACCCCTGCCCTATAAGGTGGCCTTTTAGACATCTTGCTCCAAGGCTCCAAAGAACTGATATGAAAATGGCCCGGCACAGTGTCTCACTCCTGTAATCCCAGCACTTTGGGAAGCCAAGGCGGGCAGATCACCGGAGGCCGGGAGTTCAAGACCAGCCTGGCCAACGTGGCGAAACCCTGTCTCTACTAAAAATATAAAAATTAGCCAGGTCTGGTGGCGGGTGACTATAATCCCAGTTACTTCGGAGGCTGAAGCAGGAGAATCACTTGAACCCATTAGATGGAGGTTGCAGTGTGCCAAGATTGCACCATTGATCTCCAGCCTGGGCAACAAGAGTGAAACTCCATTTTTCTTCCTATGAATTAATAGCTTGTATGTGAAAGCATGATTTTTCCGCAAAAAAAACAGATGATCTGAAACTGGTTTTGAAATCCTTCCATCTGAAGGGGTGTGTGCCAAGCACTAAAGAGGCCGGGGTGCCGGGCCCTGTAGGAGGAGCCCCCGAGACCCCTGAACTCCGGGGTTAAGGCTAGTACCCTCCAACTGTGCATCCCAGAGAAGATCCCGGAATGTCTGGCAAGCTGAGCCATGTGCTCTGTCATTAGAAGTGCACAACAGCAGAGTCCTTTCCAAAATATCCAACACAAGTAATGATAATGACAAGAATTTTTTCTTGCCTGTTAGAAGGCGGTCTGCCGGCGTCTACAGGAGACGTGCTCAGCCAGAGACCACAGCCAACCTGCCCTGCCTCACAGCCTCATGGGCGACCGTGACAGTGGAGCCCACCACCCAGCACACACAAGACCACGGTCCCGGGGCACTGCTCACCCAGGTGGCCGTAGCCCACCACGTGCTTGGCGTGCGGACCGAGGCGGGCACGCAGGTCAGTCACGATGTCGTAGAGCCGCTCCACGGGGAGGGAGAGGTCGTACTTGTACACATAGCCGTCGTGACTCAGTGCCTCCGTGATCCTCTCCCTCAGGGCCCACAGCATCTAAGGATGAGATGAGGCGAGACGCAGGCTGGGATAGGGATGGCACCCAGGAGCACACCACACTGGGTTGAGTGTCGGCACGTTCTGTGTATTCCCCAGCTGTGGCTCCGACGCCAAAACTGACCCAGGACAGTGACTGCCAAGGACCAGGTATAGCTCCCACCCTGGAACAGACCCAGGACAGTGAATACCCCAGACCAGCTGTGGCTCCAACCCCAGAATCCACCCAGGACAGTGACCGTCCCAGACCAGCTGTGGCTCCGACCCCAGAATCCACCC